TGAGATGTGGCTTCTTCCTCCGACCTGTGAGGAGGGGGAAAGAAGCCAGCCAGGGTGATCACTCTTGACCTAAAAGAGTTTGTGATGACCTTAGCCTTAGGCATGAAGCCGGGTTAGCATAAACGGCTGTCCTCCCTGGCGATTGAGGTAGGCTGCCGTGGCCTGTTGGCTGGGCGAATCAACACATGTTTGATTGTACAGCAACGGGGCGAAGTGCTGGAATACTTCCCAACCCGGAGAACAGCTCCAGCACATTTACCTCTGACGCACGGGGTCGGTGCGTGGGCGAATGAACCACCTCTGGAAACCCCTCCTGTGGGGGAGACCCCGGGGAATCCCCATGTGATCAGCTGACGTCATGCTGAGCAGCTGTATCACGGAGAGGGCTGTCACCACGCTGTGGGATGTGACACGCTGGATAGGGAGCTGTCAGTTCCTCCACTCGCTGCAGCGAGAGCCGCACTCTGCTGGCTGAGTTTTATTCCACTCGCAGATAAATGAATGTCTGGGGGGGAAGAGGACAGCTCTTCTTCAAATCCATTATGGAAACCAAGCTTTGACAGATGCGATACGAGATGTAACGTCTGTAAAGCGACTTCCTCCCTGGAGCGAGCCAGCAATAGCAGATCGTCCAGATAAAACCACACTCTCTCATCCATCCTCTGTGTAGTGGCTCCAGCCTTCTCTACACAAAATGCGAGGAGCCAGGGAACATCCAAACAGCAGACGATTGTCTGGTCTGATATTCCCTGAAAAGAGAAACGCAGGAATTTGCAGGGTGTACCCTCTGCTGATCAGCCTGCTCATCCATCTGTCCATCAGACACACGCGCTACCACTCTGAGAAACACTCTGAGAGCGGGCGCACATGCTCGAGATGTGTTGTGGTCGTCATGGCGATGAGCCACGTCAGAGCCCTCGCCGCCGCAGGCCGTGAGGCAACCCAAGGTGGGCCTGGAGCAAAAGGGCTGTGAGGGAGCCTCCACACGCTGTGTTTCACTCCGGCTCTCATCATGAGGCGTGTACACGCTCAGGGGATGAGTGGAGGTGTGTGCCGTGACGTCCACATGAGGCGTCATAACTGCGCTCATGGGCTTATTATGTGTGGAGGAGACGTATCTCGGACAGAGGAATGCCGCGAGCTCTGCGGTTCATTAACCGATAGGTTAAAACCAGCAGGCTTCTGCAGCGAGCCCTGCTGTCTACTAATCAACAGATTGGTGGCAGCTGGCTTAATTAGCGAACTCTGCAGTTTATTAACCGATAGATTAAAAACTGCAGGCTCTTACACAGAGTGGGGGGTGAGAAAACACTTGATACTGATGACTCAGACAAAAAGTTGGAAAATGAACTCTCCTCCACACAACCCCAACACGTCAAAAACGTCTCTGCTTCCTCGGAGGCTCTGGTGGAGCAGACCAAGAGCGGGAGTGCCTCACTCCCCGTTGACCCACCGCTGGAAGACCCCTTTGTCTCTGGGGTGGCGGGGGAGCGGAGACATGGGACGGAGCCCCTGCAGCCGCTGAAGGACCCTGACGCCGCGGCTGTGGGCGTCTCTCCGCCTGCCGCTGTGGCCGGGTCGGACGCTGCGGCTGCTGCGGGCGTTGATGCCGCTGTGGCCGCCCAGCAGGCTGGAGCCAGCTGACATGCTGGCGGATGTCGTCCGCCTGTTCTGCAGCAGACTTCATGGACTCCACCATGGCGTGGAACTGGGGTCCGAACAGCCCGTCCGGGCTGATTGGAGCGTCCAGAAGCACCATCCTGGCCGTCTCCGTAAGTGACGCCTGCTGCAGCCAGAGGTGGCGCTGAATCTGCGTCACCCACGCGGCGATCCTCGCCTGGGAGACAGCGACGGACGCGCACAGTGTGAGCGCCGTGCTGGCCGCCTTGCCGATCTCCTCCGCTTCATCAGCGGCCAAGGTGGTGGACCGCTCCACCAGCGTCACCACCGAGTTTGAGAGCAGCGCGATGTTGTTCGCTGCCGCCGACGCCTGAAAGGCACACTGGTGCACCCGGTCGGCCTGGTGGGCGACATACTGGTCCCTGGGGGAGGCCAACGTAGAGCGCCGTCCGGCGATCACGTTGGCCTGTCTCACCCCAAAAAATGCCGTCAGGCTCGGCTCCAAAGAAGGGGTGGCTGGGAAACCAGCATCTGTGAACCCCTCCACCTTGGTGAGGGGAACAAATGTGGCCACCGGAGCCTTCAGGGTCCTCGGATTCGCCGCCGCCCCCTCCTGGTACCTCCTGATGGCGGGGAAGCGTGGCCAGACCGGGTCACTCCTGACCGTCTGCACCCGCGAAAAAACTCCGGCCATATCGTCCGGAGCACATCTCTCCTGAGCTGGGGGAACGGGGAGACCTCTGCAGGCGGCCGCCTTGCATATGATCTCCGGTAGTTCCCCCAGGATGCCACCTATCACCGGCAGCGCCGTGGTGACGGAGAAGGGGACCGCGTGCTCGTCCGCCAAGCCGGCACCCTGCTCCGACTCTGTCTCCCCCGTCCGGGGGAGAGGAGGGAGGGGAGAACCGTACGGTGAACCGTGGAGGGAGGCGGGGTAGGAGTCGTCCGACACCTGCCTGGCACTCGGCTCCAGGGACATGAGGCCGCCGTCCACGGGCTCGAAAGCCTGGAGGGGCCAATCGTCCTCCTCGGCCGCAGCAGCGAGAGCGTCCGCTCTTCGCTTCCTGTCGTCCGAGGGGAGACGGGCACAGTGTGTGCATGCGACCTGCTGGCTGAGAGCCGCGTATGCGTGCTCTGGCCCCAGGCAGGATTCGCACATCGTGTGCTGGTCGTAACTCATAATGTATCCAGAGCCACATGAGGGACAATCTCTCACACAATTGCTGCTCATGATTGCTCTGTTAATGAAAGTGTCTCTTGTGCTTCAGTAACGGGGTGCTGAAGAAAAAGAGGGAGCAGATTGTCGGGCCTCCTTCCTATTTATACCGGAAGGGAGGCCGAGGGTGGGGCCCACCTTGCGGGCGGGCGTGGACTACAAGTGTTTCAGTGCTGCGCGGGTGCGCAGGGGGATTACCCAATAGCGATAGCCTTAGAGGGCGAAGCCATATACGAAATAGAACCAACTGTTGCTATCTTTAAACTATGCCGCCGAAACATAATTTCAGCCAATCAGCGTCGTCAAATCTGATGGTCACAGGGCTCCAACGTGAGCGCCCGGTGCAGTCTGTGAGTTGTTTGGACTCGTATCCAAGGAGACAAAACAGGAAGCTGTCATACACTCTGGAAGCTACCATTAGCAGCTAATGAAAACTCCGTTTTTGAGATAAAAATGGAATTATGGATCATCAATCATTTTTTAAAAGTGACAGACACATTGGATTAACCTATGGATTAACCTTCAGCTGCGTTTTTCTCGTTTTTGATCAGAATTGTTATTCTGCAAAAGGTGAGCATATCTCCGTTTTTTGCTACCTAAAGCTACATCGTGTGATGTCTGTAATTTGCTTCCCCTGTCGCGAGTTCTGATCGCTCAGTGATGATACTTATATTTCTAGAATCTGTGGAATCTCAGCTTGTTAGCACAGTTTATGCTGTAGAAACTATGTCCAGGACAAGGTGTTTGGAAGTTTTGGAAGATTCATAGCTAACCACACTGAAGTTATGGAGGTATTGATCAGTCTTCTCATATTTTTAAGCCTCAAATTGTCCTTCCCCCCCCCCCCTCTAACATCACCAGAAGCCATAATTTAGGGGGTCTTTTCTCAAAAAAATGTACCGGGGGAGCATCCCCCCGGACCCTCCTAGTATTGTTTGATCACCATTTCCACAGCCCCACCTAAAATATTTTCCACCAGCCGCCACTGGGTTTGGGAATTATGGCAGTTTTAAAAGAAAATATGAAGGCACATTTCAAGAATTCCCACTCTAGCTGTGACATCACGCACTCTAGTTAATGTTAAAATCTGAAGAAAACCTCTTTAACAAGGTCTGAACAATGTTTAATATCTCTAAAAGTAAGAATCAGATTTAAAAGTTGTGTTACACGAATAATGTCAGAAAGATGTGTAACATTTTAAAGTTGGAATGAGGTTTCTGTGTGAAAGTATGAATGAACAGTTAGCAGTTAAAGTCGCATGAAGATTTGTTGAAGTCTGAAGAATGTCTCCATTGACTTCCATGTTAAAACTTTGATGAATTATGGGATGTATCTCTGGAATTATTAAAGTTATGAATGATAAAAGTAATAGCCTGCGATTCCCGACCGAGCTGAACGTTTTGATGTTTGAACGGAGTTTCTGCGATGTTGAATGTGGGAGGAGAAGAGGGCCAAAATAAGTCGGCGGAATAAGAATTTTGGGAATGCTGTATCAGCATTCCCACCAAATGACTTGGAACCACTAAATAAACTGTAGAAAACCTGAAATGGTGACAGCGGGTCATTGTGTTTGATGTAGACCATTTTTATTTGTGAAAGCTCTTTGAAGGCAGTCTTGGAACTCGACCCAACCTTAATAAAAATAAGCCTTATATTCGTATAGCACCTTTCTTACAATAATTGCAGCCCAAAGTGCTTCACACCAGATATATAGAAGGAATAAAAGCAATGCAGAAAATAAAAGGATAAAGGCAATGTAGATAAAAAATATTGATTGATAAGAACCAAACCAACAGCTACATTTAAACAAATATATCCACTCAGATTCAAATAATCAATACATAAATCTTATAGGTTATGCACTATTCTAAATTAAGATATCTGGCAATATGGAAATAGGCAAAGTTAGCTTCACCTTTACTAGCTGTACAATTAAAGTGATATACACAATATAATTATAGACCAGCAATAATATATAAGTATATTTCCATACTTTAATTTATAGTACTTTCCATATAAGTATATTTGTATGCTAATACTTTTGTACTTTTACTTAAGTAAGATTTGTGCGCAGGGTATTTCTTAACTGTGGTATTACTACTATTTGAGTACTTCTTCCACCACTGGTCCTCATTATGAGCAATCACTTCAATGATACAAACACTAAAAATATACAAAAAGTAGTTTATTACTTTCCAAAAATGCAAAAAGTGTACAAAGATATGTTGGTCAGTAGTTACATTCATGGAAATGAATAAAGAGACATTGGATGGTAACAGATTTCTTAAGCACGTTGGAGTAATCGTCTTAAGTGGAAGAAGACACAGATGGAGAAATTGTCAGCTGTGTTCTCTGACAGTAATCGACACCACTATCATGTGGAATCTACTGCTGGACCTCCCCAGCTGTGGTCTGAGCTGAATGGGGGTGAAGTGCTGCTGTCTCATGCTGGTCCTGCTGGGAGCGGACCACAGTTCTGCTGTGTGATGCTTCAGTTGTGCTGGGAGGCCTGCTGCATGATGACTGAACAGAGACTCAACATCTGCAGGTACTCATCCGCACCGTCCGACAGGCACTTACTCACAACCTGAACAAAAAAGGGAACACGAGCACAAATAGAAAGTTTCAATATCAGTCACACTGACCCCTAAACACATTGTGAAAAGCGGACATTCTTAGCTTTCCAATCATAGCTCTGTTTTTGTTCTCCAAATATTAAGTAAACATTTTGTTTTGACATTTTGAGCTGAGTCTGTAGGGAGTTGGCTTAGGAAAAGAAGGTTTGACGGTTCAAGTCCTGATCGGACCAAGAAACAAAGGGTAGCTGGAGAGGTGTGTTTGCTCCTGGGCACTGCTGAGATGCCCATGAGCAAGGCACCGAACCCCTTCCAGAACACTGGCAGCCCCTTCGATCGGCGATCTCTCCATCAGCGCATGTCTACAGGTCTTTCTTGTGCATGTGAGCGTGTATTTTGGGCCTTTACTGAATTTCCCCTCTGGGATTAGTAAAGGTCTTAATCTTAACCTGGAGCTCCATCAGATCACTTACCGCCATCTTCTCTGTTATGACTGACTTCTGCTTGTCACTCAGGTCGTGCTCTATGACAGCCTCATGGAGCTGACCCAGGATCTGTGTGGCTGCGTAGCCTTCATCCACCATGTTCTGACAGAGGAGACATTAGTTTAGATTTGTTTAGTTGTCTGGGACCATGTACATTAAACACGTGAGGATATGACATATTGTTTTTTTAGTGTTAACAGTTAGGATACAATAACAATAAATGAGACCCCCTACCCTGACTGCGACCTCTAATTTCTCAAAAGTTCCTGAGAGGCATATCTGGAGCAAGCCGTCAATCATCTTGGGAGGGACGACCTGGAGTAAATAACAACAGAGTGAGCATTAAGGGGTTTGATATGTCCACAACATTTCAAGTGCAGTAAATACATCCTCTGTTCTTTGAGGCTCACCCCAGCTATTTCAATGATGGCGCTCTCCGTGATCTCCCTGTCCATGTTGAGGCGTGCCGCACTCTGCAGGAAGGTGATGGCTTTCCGCAGGTCCCCCTCAGACACCGTCACTAACGCTGCTATACTCTGAAGAACAGAAAGCGTGAGATGTTGGTTACACCAGCTGTAGATCACTTCCTGAGGCCCACAGCGATATGCAGGAGGTGCTGTGGAGCAGCATTGCTTCAAATAGAAATGTATCAGTTCCAACAGACATATGTTCAGCACTTTAAAACACATTAAGGCTGCAATTTACAATTATTTGTTATGGATTAATCCATCAAATATTTTTTCAATGATTCTAATAATCTCAGTTTGTTTTGATTAATTTATTGATTTTCTCAAAGTCAATTTATCATTTGGTTAGCTTAAAAATAATGAATAACCATAACTTCTATCATTTATCTTTCAATAATGAATTCAAGTATTATAATAAAACTATATTGCTGTATATGATAGCAACATTCTGCAATACAATACTGTAATAGGATAACATTAGATGGATGGTCTTTATTTATGCTATTGTATTGTTGTATAAACAATTTTTTAAATGAAAACGGCATTATTTATATTATTGATGCATTGATTTAAATAATTACAACAGAAAGCAGACAGCTTTTGTCAATAAACAATTTTGGAGAAACTAAAAAAATATGAAATTCTAAATCATTTGCACTTGATGTTGCAGTCATCAGTCAGAGCCTGCATGTCCCAGAGGATGTTGTAGCTATTAAAAAAACATGTTTTGGCATAAGAGCTGAATAGATCAGACAATAGAACCGGTATTCAGGAAGTTACGGGGCATTCTGTAGAGAAATCTGCATCTCTGAATACATTTATTATGTTTACTGGCAGATCAAGACTATGGTGAACCCGTCAAATCATAAATCGATGTTAAATAAATGTACGGCATGACGTTAACAGAAATCTGTTTGTAGGTGTATAGTCTTATACACCTATAAACAGATTTCTGTTAAGACTAAACAATGTTTAACAACTAGTTGTGAGGAAAAGTATTATATTTTACAATATCCATGCAACAATTGACTAAAACTATAGAAGTAGGTAAGGAAAACGTGATGGTCATGGTTAAAAGGTTAAACATCTAAGCAAAAGCTAAATATACCCCAACAGTGATGATTTGCAATGTACTAGATGGCCTATTTCAGCCCGTTTATCAGGGGCGTAACATGTATACTGGCTAGGGGTGTAACGGTATCCGTATTCGTCCCGAACCGTCACGGCTCGGACGTCACTGCTCGGTTCATGCAGTCACACGACGAATACGCCTTTTTTGAGTGGGAAAAAAAGTCTGTCACTTAGAGCAGTATCCACTACACTATAAATAATCCAGGGGGCGGTATTGCAACTAAAAGCTGTTTGCCTGCCGCCCTTAAACAACAAATGAAGAACAAGAAGAAAACAGTGGGTGTTTCTCAATCGCGAGTACGCTTGCTTGGTAGCACATGTCTGCCGAGCATCTTGCTTCAGAAGCGAGTCAAGAATACTTCCTGGCATTCGGAAAACGAAGTGTGGAACACGCTAGCAAGTGTGCAAGTGTGCGTCATATGAGAGGCCCCGCCTTACATCTTCCGCCACAGATTTGGGGAAATTGGTCCGTGCGCAAAGCATTGTGGGGATTTTAAGACCGCGGAGTCTACTCATGTGCAGCCTCGATATTTCTCCAAACGGAGTACGCCGGGCTCGGTAGATTTCCAAGTATGCTGGAGATTGGAACAGTACTTCGGCGGCACTCGATGACGTAGTATGCTTGAAATAGTGGCTCTGAAGCAGCTTTACTCGCGATTGAGAAACACCCACAGACACAACTAAATGGACTAAATACAAGAAGAAGAAAAGTTAGTATGGCGATTTCAGATAACAGCGTTATTCGACGGCGGTGCCGTATGCTAATGGTAACACACGCCAAACAGGCTAAATCATATCAGAAGGCATCACCCAGATTTGCCATTCACCGGAGCCCACAGCAGTTCAACAGCTTATCCCCGCTGTTTTTAAGAAGCCAATAGACATGAAAGCCAAGAGACCAAAATAAATAACGGAAGCTATTGGCATATATATTTCAATTGCTATGCGCCCTTGAAACACTTTATCATTTATTATGTAATATCTTCAAGACATTCTTTTTTGTTTTACAGCTTGATGAAACCTTTTTGTTCAGCCATTATAGATAATATGGCCATCTGAGTGTGTGTGGTACTGTTTGTGGTTTGTTTTTCACTGTGTAATAAAGTTAATTATGCAAAATGTTAGAGTTCCTTATTTTTATACTGAAACTTGCACTACTGTTAAAAATAAATAACAACAAACCTGGAATTATGCATTTGGGACTTTTTTTGTTGCTTTTTCTTGTTGTACCGAACCCGTACCGAACCCGTACCGAACCGTGACCCCCAAACCGAGGTACGTACCGAACCGTGAATTCTGTGAACCGTTACACCCCTAATACTGGCCATTACAATCCTGCCATACTTCTAATTTAACAGATGAAGGACAAAACCCACCGTTCATAGCTCAAATATACGATCTTTAAGTTTTAAAGTTCTGTTTTGGCAAACAACTATAGGTAAACAACCCCTCTATTATTGTTCACCCTCTTTTTTAGGCAATTTCATTTTATTTTTGTAATCAAAGCAACAGTGGAGTAGTGAGTCAGCTGTTCTCCTTTACCTCTTTGCTGTATTTAAGGCTCTCCTTCTCACAGATATCCAGCAGCCGCTCTTCTTGGATCTGATTGGCCAGAGGTTTGAAGCGAAACTTGGAACATCTGGAGGTAAGGGGCTCGATGATCCTATAAAACACACAGACCGGAGCAGGGTCAGGATCAGTCACAGAGAGAGGGAGTGTTTGTGCGCTCAGGGATGGACAGATGACCTGCTGATGTAGTTGCAGATGAGGCAGAAGCGGGTGGTGCGGGACTCCTTCTCCATGGTGCGCCTCAGAGCCGCCTGGGCCGGCCCCGTCATGGAGTCCGCTTCATCCAGGATGATGATCTTGAAAGGAGGACACGGCTTCCCACTGCAAACACAGCAAAACACAGTGACTCAACGTTTCATTCATCAATTAGAATGAACCATGATACACATCTGATACTATTCATTCCTACTCAAGATGCACTGTGTATTGACCAGATATCAATATCAGCTTTTGTGAACTCGTTTTTTTACTGCCATTGTAATAAAGTAAATCTCATCTGATCCATGTGTTGACATGAAAAGTGATTGCCAATATTGCCAAGATTGCCAATTCATGCCAATATAAATGCATAAACTAAAAGCTTGATCTGTAAATGTATTAAATAACAATTTAATTGAATGGATTTTAAATCTATTATCATAAGAAAAAAATAATGGGCAATAATGGAGTATGGCGGATAACAAGAATTAAATGCAACCACTGCCTCTGCTGGTACTTAGCATCTTCCCAATGAGAAGATTTTTTTTTTTAGAGTTAATTTAGCTTATTCAGAGTTAGATGGAGGAAGGGCGGAAAAACACTTCATATTTTTTCACAAGATTTCATTATTTTGTTTCCCTAAAGGAGACTAAATAAAAACAAGATAAATAATCAAAATTGCTATTCTAAATCGGTATTGGTACATCACTCATTTCTAACACTAATTGTTTAAAAACAAAATGATGATTGATGATGAGTTACAGAGCAACCATGAGACAACTTGCCCTATATTTGAGAATGAGTCCATGCTGACTTACTCTTGGCGTGACCCGGCCACGGTGAGCTGAGCGAAGTTCTTCACCTTCTGTCTGACTACCTGGATGCCTCGTTCATCGGAGGCGTTGAGCTCCAGCACCCTCTGCCTGTACAGCTGGGGCCTGCAGGGGGGGCGGTTCATACCAAGAGAAAACAGGTGAATGATCAGATTAGAACCTGGCTGAAATATATCTGCTTTTTACCCACAATATCAACAGCGCACTCACCCATAAAGCTCTCTGGCAGCAGCTAAGATGGTGGAGGTCTTTCCTGTTCCGGGGGGGCCGTAGAAGAGCAAGTTGGGAAGCTGCAGATACAACAAAAAGAGAAACTGTGATTAAGCCATCCTGGGTATGAAGGAGGAAACTGAACAACTGCATGATTTAGCAGATGTTTGCCTTCATTTGTGTACTTTTGATCCTCGTGTACTGATCACCGTTATCCGTTGCAACATCAACGCTTTGTGACATTGTTATTAATGCTATGTTTAGTTTTGCTACAGAAGTGCACTAAGAAGATAGATTGAGTTTATAAATAGAGAGGATATAACAAAAGAAAAACATTACGCCTACAACATTTTGAGTCTCCTACGAAGGAGACAATGTCAGAAGTGATTTCTTACATAAACGCATTGTGAAAGATGTGGGGTTCACTGTCATTCTCAAAGACACTTTTGAACAGAAAGATTTGGATATGTTATATATAGCAGGGGTCTCCAACCTTTCTTCATCTGAGAGCTACTGTGAAAAAATGAAAGTGGCCAAGAGCTACTTGCATCACATCGCTTACATTTATTCACATAGCCCTCATCAGTTGAACCCTTGTGTTGTGTTCGAAAGCTGTTACTGTTCGTGGTGTTCGCGGGTACATTTTGACCCATGATTTATCTCAGTCCAAAACACACACAAAAAAGGACTATCATCCAATATTGTCTAAAGTCAAAGATGAATTTTGATTGGGCCAAATTTGACCCCAAGTCACCCAAAACAATTCTGCTGGGTCTTCCCAGACCTGAACACCAAATTATACACTTTTTTTTAGAGACCTTCAGACTTGGCTAAAATTGTCAAAATCTGTTTTGTAGTGTTTATATAGCTGTGATGGAGGATATCATGAAGCCTCGTTCCGATAAAAAAAAACTAGAGCGTAGTTATTATATCATTTTAACTTGAAACGGGTCACCCGAACACAACATAAGGGTTAAGCTACTTTTGTACAGGTGTGAAATTGCAATACCCAAAGCTTATCAAAAATCTTAACTTCACATCAAGGTCCACGAAAACGACAATTTATCTCATATTATTATCGCCCACATAGTAAGTACATCACTGAGAATTCACATAAATGTCCAAGAGAAAAAGAAAATGTTTTCACTTCTTATTATGGTCCACATAGTAAATACATCACCTTAATCCCCACCTTACAAGCATCTTATGGCACATGTGTGAAATAAGTGCATTCACTCTTTTGTACAGTTAGTGAGATGACTGGCACTGCATGGAGTCCACCATAGAGGTGTATGCTGGACCCACTTAGGTTCACTCTAATAGAGTCATTTAAATGTTCATCAGTCATACTTGTTCTGTATTTAGATTTCATTCATGTCAGAAAAAGCTGCTTCACAAAGGTATGTAGAGCCAAATAAAGCAGACATTTTCAGTGATGCTTGGTGAATGTTCTTATAGTTTTCATCTCCATCTCCACAGGATTGACACTGAACAGTTCAGCCATCTTTTTCTTCTTCTTCGTCTTGACATGAAATTATAAACCATAATAAATCAACTGTATAGGTCTAGCCTCCCTATATCTGTGTGTGAAATTGTTCCATCCTCAAAAACAAAAAACTAATACTTCTGCAGTCTAGCTTCAGCTTCTAGAAATGGTCTTCTGTTAAAAACACTGAATGTCCTGAACACAGCAGACAACAGGAGTATTTACAACAGCATATAAAAACAAAAATAGTGCATGTGGGTACACACTTATTCTCTGTCTTACTGTTACATAAATCCCATGAATGTATGAGATTAAGTTAGCTTCATCATATCTCAATCAGTGATTAAGTGAATAATAAAGTTTCTATCGGGTCACTATCAGACTGTCACTCATTATTTTCAGGGAGGGGGCGGGGTTTGGAGGAACGGAGAGGAGACGGTGATCGCGGAAGCTTTCCTCCTGCCTTCACAAACTTTACACAAGTATTTATCAACTGAAAATAGCAAGAGGACATTCATACTCTGCAATCCAAGACTTGATTAAATCCACCAAAAACCTGACATGGTGCTAACGCGAGTATTTTTTAACATAAATCCATGTGTGTCTGAGCCGCAGCGACACAGACTGATTCAGGTGCATTTATTGTCGTCGGATTTTTCCAACACAGTCTGTGAACCGCAAGCGGCGAGCTACTGAAAAGCTGCTTTGGCATAAGCTACCGGTAGATCGCGATCGACGTGTTGAGACCCCTGATATATAGTATTTATTTTACATTGGTAGCACTGGTGATACCAACTTTCTCAGTTAGTGACACCAACAAATGATTTTGTCTCACCATTTATAAAAAAATGTTACACACAATGGTTGTGTCTGATACAAAACATTTCAATGTTTCTCCCTCCGCCCATCCCTTTCTCTTTGCTTTATAGAATAATCAGCTATAGGCCGCATGGACTATGCTGTTAGTATTTTGTTAATGCAGAGAAGTGAGTGTGTGTGCAGTGAGTATAAAATCAGCAGTTATGTAGCCGTGTAGTGTGCACAGTTTTTTTAGTCGGTGAACAAATGCTACTCCTGAGAACCCTGTGCTGATTAAAGTGTTGGGGCTTAGAGGTTTATTTTTGCAATCTCTCCTATCCTTTTTTTACCCTTTTCACATGAGAAGAGTGTCAAACAGTTCCTCAAACACAGCATGAGAGCTTCATACTTACATCTGCTCCTTCCACAGACTTCTTGAGCACGGCGACCACCTCCTCCTGGAAGGCCACATCATCAATACACTTTGGCCTGCTGGGATTTGAAAAAACACCCCATGTTAACATGTTTTTTTTTGTCGATTTCAACACCGGTTATGTTGTTCGCAACAAAGCATTATAAGGAAAATATATATGTGCTCCCTAAATGCGTTATTGTGAGTTGACTGCATCCTAAACTAATTTTCCAGTCCCTGGGATGGCAGGACAAGTGTTGAGGCCTGCCATTTGTGGGTCTTTATCATTGGTTGGTTACAAACTGACATAATTCCCAGTACACTTTGTGATTCAAACTTACTATTTTTCTACCCATGGAACAGCCTTGGCTTTCTTCTCCGTGCCGGGCCCCGCTGCTGCCTTGTCTTTCTGAGGTCTGCTGGTCTGAACGGTCGCTCCTTTCAGAAAGGCCTGCATGACTGCTCCTGGTGTTGGTAAAAGCAGAAGAAAGGCCTGGGATAAATACACATACAGATGCAGAAACAGACACAAATGTAACACATATTATCCAACCAACTATTGAGTAGACAGAGGCCCTCAAATCTGACCTATATTAGACGACTGTCACCCCATAGGCACAGATTTGTTCTTAACAAATAAACATGACAGTTTGGTTCTCTGTATATCAGAAAGCTAAAAAAAGGTTATCCACAATTGGTTTTAAAAAATGACCCAATTTGTTTCCCTTAAAGTTGAAATGTGACTTACAAACTATCGAACTAGTACTCAGTAAAAATGTGTAGTGTAGACCAGTTCCAAATAAAAAAGAGAAACATTCACACGTTAGCATTACATTTCTTTATGCTGATTTGTGAACAGCTGCTGTGTGTCAGCTTCTTGAGCCCTATGTTGCATACTGAATGCAGAAGTGTTTACAGTAACTAACTTCTATGAATGAAACACTTTTTACAAAAGCACAAACATCCAGGAGAGGTGCAGGACAGAAGAACATGTAAAAGAAGGAACAAATAAACTCCTCACATTAGAAAATGCTTATATTGAACGTTTAATAAATCACCACTGTCTTTAAGATACAATTAAGCCTGCAGTGCTTACCGCATTCAATTATGTTTTTATATGAACTTTTTAAAATATAATGAATACTCCCTGCACCTATGTTGCTTTCATCCATTCAGTCATGGATGTTTAAAGTTGAAGTCTCCTTCATATTTGACTAATATTATAGTTTACTCTTCATTCATGAAGAAGTACGCTTCTCCATTTTGTGACTGGTCAAATGTCACTTTATCGAGTTGATAACCAGCGTCGTAGGACCGTTTAGCGAGATCTCGTTTGTTAGGGTTATTTAAGCCAGATAACTCAAAGATATCCAGGGTATGTTGAACTGGCTTCTTAGTACAAGCCTCATGATGCTACTTACCCTAAACATTCATATAAAGAACGGATGTTAAACTGACAATTTGTTACTTAGCATTGTCATGTAGAGTTCAAACGTATTTGCATATATAATTGAGTTGCAAAATAACACGTTATAGCTGGCATTACATAGTAAAGAACAAGCCAAGTACAATCACCCAGTTAGGTAGCTAAGTTAGCCTGCTATTAGCTTTTAGTTTTAGCCAATTGTTAGCTGAGGATTATACAGAAAGACATACCGCACTTACTTTATATATCCACCGCTGGTCAGACAAACCCTGCCGTTGATATCCAACGGTATGAGTTTCTTCTTAACAATGCCTAAAGATGAAATAGCTTCTGATAACTGTGTGTCTCAGCGTTGTGGAGTCTGGTTGTTGACATGTGTAAAGCGATGTTGAAGCAGCAGCAGCGGCTTCCCGCTCTAGAAGAGAAAACAACTTCCGCCGACGTCATATCACTGCTACCAATCAGATGCTGCGGATGGTGTAGATGGTCCTGCCCCTCCTTTCACGTATCCTCTCCCCCCCTTTCCTCCTTTCCTTATTCTCCTCTCTTGTTTCCCTCTTCTTCTTCTTCTTCTTCTCCTTCTCCTTCTCCTTCTCCTTCTTCTTCTCCTTCTTCTTCTTCTTCTTCTTCTTCTTCTTCTTCTTCTTCTTCTTCTTCTTCTTCTTCTTCTTCTTCTTCTTCTTCTTCTTCTTCTTCTTCTTCTTCTTCTTGAAGACTAGGCGCAATTTCTCTTGTTTCCCTTTCTCCTTTCCATAGTCTTGTACTTTTCCTTTATTTTTTTCCAAAATATTGGCTGGTAATGATTGAACATTTGAATGTATATTATTTAATTAATGCACTGCCTTGGATTATGCTTTGTCTGCCAGCTGTTCCGCCATTTCTGCTGCATGTTTCTATTGTTTGAAAGCCTTCAGAAGGGCCTGTTATTGGCTGCTGAGGGGAGTTACATGAGTGGGAGGATGAGACTGAGTGCAGATGTCTCTGGCTAATAGCCGTCTCCCAGGCAATCTCTACAGTCCCAGTGGACACAGGCTCATGGAGAGATGCTAATGTCCCTGCCTCACATTGTTGGCTTCAATCAAAACATGGAGCGGGATCAGCAGAGTGGCCTACGGTAGCAGTGAATGAGCCTAAAGCATGAATGATGTATGATGGGTGTAGGCCATTGATTTGTTTTGTTTGAGCCCTCAAAAAATGATGGTGAATCACAAAGCAAGGATGTTGTCTTTAAAGAGACTCAGGAAAAAACAATATTAATTTCAATTGTGTACGATTTTCAAGTCCCCTACCTCAGATCTAATAAAAGCAGGTGACACTTCTGTCTGAGGATCAGTCAATGTTCCATTATGGCTCCAATCCATGTTGTTCCAGGCCCCAGGATTTCTGTTATGGACCTATTAACCCCCACCCTATCTATCCAATATCCACCCTCCCCCTGCTTCTGTGTCTCTCCCTCCGCCCTGCAGGCAGGTACAGCAGCCCTCTGATTCGTGTTTCCTCATTGTGACTCAGCTCCTTTATTAGAGCAAACAGAGCATCATTACAGAAGCAGCAGCCATGCTTTCCAACCCGGAACCTAAGGAGTGTCTGTAAATGTGAAGTGGGTTAGATATTTTCTGCACTTACTGAGGAGCATCCTTTTTATTTGGCTATGTTTGGCACGTGTTAAACATATTTTTGAGGATCATTTTCCTTTTTTTTGTGGCTGTGAGGACTATTGTGCTTTGACCTGGAGGCTTCTTTTGAATTATTGGATATGTTTGCCAGCATCATGAAAAGGACTCTATAGGGCGGCTGATGTTTTTGTTGCTTCCTAATGACCTTTTTTAACCTAATTACGCATGGGCAGGTCATTTTACTGCACATTAACTGAAAAATTGGCTCTTTTCTACAATGATTTCCTGGCTAGTTTTAGATAAATTCTGTTTTCTGGGTGAGACACAATTTATCTCTTTTGTTTACTGACTGACTGACTCCCTATAGAATGTATTGTGTGATTGACTGGCTGACAATGAACTTGATATTTCAGTAAACACTGGCTGATTGCTTTTAAATTCATTTACTGGCTATCTGAGCTACTTTTATTCCCTGACTGGCTGGTTATTTTACCTTTGCCTGGCTGCCAAGCTGATTATTTAACCCCCCATAATTCCTGTTTTTGCTGACTGGCTAGGAGTAGCATCATATGTGTCCCCCCGATTTGTTATTATATAGATTTGAAGGAGGCATGATGAAGGAGAGAAGAAGATCAACATCCTAAAGCTCAAAGAAGAAATTACAAGACACAAGGAGCATCAGAGAGAAAGGAGGAGACACAATTCACAGGAGAAAATTGGATTATAGTGAGCAGAAGGAGGGGGTGATTGTCGGGAAAGGAAGGGTGACGAACGGAGGCGTGGCAGTGGAGAGAGAGAGTGGCGAGAGAGAGAGAGAGACAGGAGGGGAGGAGGGTGGATGCGACCCACACCCTGAGATGCTGAGCTGGCTGAGAGAAGAGGAGATGTCGGTCCAGGAGCTGCTGCAGAGGGTGCAGTGTGTCATCACTCATGTTGGTGAGTCCTCACATTCCTTTTTTCTTATTTTAAGGTTAGAATAAGATGAGTTATTAGCCTCTGCTGGGAGAATCACACAATAGAACCTGCTTGGGTGGAAGCTGCGTTATAAGCTGGTGTCGTTTAATGGAAACCCTTGAATTGATGGAAAATGTGAGGAGAAACAGAGCAGATGAAAGCCATGCAGGGGATCTCCATCCTCTCATCAGGACCGCTGAGGACAGGGGGGGGGGGGGCGGGGATGATCTGCACATGGGCAGAGGAGAAAGTGTGTCATCGCAATACAACAGGGGGAGTCAATATCTGCAGATTGATGTGCTTCATTTTGAATGATTTACAAGAAAATGTACAGAGACTACATTTAGGTACACAGGTTATAGTTTGGAAACATGTATGCATTTGAATGGCCAATCCTGTTAAAGCATTTGTTTTTCACGAGATTCACAAGGTCAACATATTAAAGATTTATAATCCCATGAAGCACTTCCTATCCTATATCACCTTTTCTCTTTCTTGCTTTCTCCTTACATCTTTCTTTTCCTCTTCTTTCTTTTCCTATTCATTCTCTCCATTGCTAATTTTCCAATGTCCTTCCTGTCCTTGCCCTCTCCACCATTCCTCCCATCCACCACTTCTATCCATTGGTTTTACTTCCCTGCCGTCTCCCTTTCCTCTCCTGCTTCTGTATTTTTTCATTCTGCTCGTTTACTATGCAGCATCCGGGTCATTTCCTTCCCCTGCTTGTCGGGAAGTAGGTTATTGTGCCACGCTGGAAACTGTCGCACTCCTCCAACACTGCACTTCCTGCATCACATAGCTATGGGAGTGTGGGGCAGGGGGGTGGAGGAGGGCTGCAGAGAGTAACTATGGAAACTGTGCTAGCTTCTGCAGAGCAAGGGGACTGTAATCGATGTATCAAGAGCCAGGTTCATGTGGGATGGTGCCGTCAATGTTTGCATCATTTGTGGCTGCATAAAGGTGCTGATTAAACAGGATATCTTTTTCTTGCTGTGGATTTGAGTATTTCTCTCTTAGATTATATTCTTCATATTCATATTCTGAATGCCCAGCCATTAGGAGAATTAGATTTACATCGAGAACACATAATACAAATCCAATGCACACAAACACATTCATTCATCAGGTGTTGTTTTAGTTGTCATGGAGTTGTAGATATTGATGTCTCTTTTCTAAGACTTTTTGGGGGTTTTTTTATCGACAAACTGTATGTTGGGTTAAAGCTGAGTTAGTTTTTTACATGGAATATGACCGCCAGAGGTGGGAGAAGTACTCAGATGTTGTACTTGAGTAAGGGTAGATGTACCAGAGTGTAGGAATACTCTGTTACAAGTAAAAGTCCTGCATTCAAAATGTTACTCAAGTAGAAGTGCAAAAGTATTAGCACCAAAATATACTTAAAGTAGCGACAGTAAAAGTATTCATTGTGCAGATTGGTCCATTTCAGAATAATATATATGATATGTTTTATAATGATTGATCATTAAAGTGTTATCAAAGCTGGTAAAGGTGCAGCTACTGTAGTTTGAATGACTTTGTATCCTGCAGGGTAGCTTGTGAATTTACTCCAGGTGGAACTAAAGTCTGATTTAAGACTTGATTATATTTCACAACATGTTTGCGACTTTGTAGAAGAACAAAGTAGCAACAAATTCTAATACTCAAGTAAAGGACAAGTATCTAAAAATTCTACTTAAAGGACACCTATCATGCTATATTTAAATGATATATTGTAGGGCCATACCTATATAAGGTATATTTATACGTTTCTGTTTTCAAAATACCAAACAGATCATGCATTTTAGCCATGCCTCATTTCGCTCTATGTGCTGTTCTCCAGCCCTGTTTTTGCAGGGGGCTGATTATGTGAGCTGCAGCTGACCACGCCCCCCTGCAGGAGAGGGGAGCCGCTCTGATCAAGTCAGAAGAGGGGGAGAAAAATAGATCTCCGTCCTCCGTGTTTTATTATATTATTATATAGAGTTGTTATTCATTTGTTTTAAAGCTCAATAAATTACAAAGAAGACCTTTGACCGGCACTTTTCTAATTTTGTCCGGAAGATTTAAACTTTAACGGACATCTTTTAACTGAAACTCTGCCGCACGGTCCCCTCGTTCCTTGGAAGAGGCGGAGAGGTGGGTGTTTGTCATCTACTGGTGGACTAACCGGAGAGAATTACAGTGCTTGCCTCGACGGGGAGGGATTGCATTGAATTAAAGCAGCAGGAGCAAATGCTTGCCTCGGGGAGGGAGAAAAAAAGCCACAGCGGAGAATAAACAGAAGGGGAACTATGGCAACCATGCGCGGGAAGTCTTCTTCGCTGCTTTTGTGTCAGACTACAGCGCCACTTACAGGCCTGGCATATGTACTACAGCGTCTCCAGCGCTTTCGAGCGGCAATGGCCGGCCGTGGCCCAACCCCACATTCCCCTGATAGGTGGAGAGTTGGCCCAATAGCCGTAGCGCCACCGTCCTGACAGTGTTCAAATCTGGATCAGTTTTTATCAGATCCGTTGCAGCCCCTTTTTTAGAGATTTGGGTATGGAGGAAAATAGAGAGGGTTGTGTTTTCTGACACTTGGTGAGTTCCCTGGAACACCGGGGACACATATTCATGTATAAAAGACGTACAAAAGTGCATTTTGCATGATAGGTCCCCTTTAAGTACAGTACTTGAGTAAATGTAATTACTTAAGTTACTTTACATCTCTGATGACCACTGACAAAACAATCTCATCACAAACTCCATAAGTAGTTTATTTTCTTGTTTTTGAGCTGGTCTTTCCTAGAAAAGCTGAACATGCAAAAAAAACACATACTGATGATAATTAGGTGATAATGATTCACATCTCCAGAACT